GTAGCTTTGTAGACACTGGAGGCAGCCAAAGCCCATTTTTGGACTTTGAGTCCAGTTCTGTGAGGTCTTAGAGACAAAAGGCTCACAAATTTATAAAGCAAGTGATACTGTGAGGCATGTTTTATAGGCTAGACATATGCAAACATGTAGACTTACCTTTTGAAATATAAAAACATGTTTTAAATGTTTAAACTTACCTAGAATTTCCACTTGATTTTCTACGAACCCTTTTCTCTCCATTGTCAACCAAAAACCATGAGGTATGTACAAGAAAGAGAAACATGCTAAGGGCTTTTCACCCTCACAGTTTGCCAGTGGCGGTAGAGAGCCCCAGAGTTTGGGGGCATAACTTAAACCTCTTTCTCTGTACGCGGTGATAGTGGTGGTCCCTTCGCTGTTCCTTTGGGATGTGTGCACTAATAAGCTCCACTGTCATCTTGTCCATCAGTGAGAAGCAGCTGCATTTCCACCGCGGCCGTGGGAGGACTGGATGTCATTGTCCTCCCCTAGGGACCAGCTGCTTGGTTTTGGACCCTGTGTCTCTATTGTCCTGATGGAATCATTTATTTGTCAGGGAATAGTGACAAATACTTTTGCTTTCTGTTTTCATAGGTAGATCTTTAAGGCTGAACTAGAAGAAACTTGGCCAATACTATCTTCCCAAACCAAAATCTTGTAGTAGCAGAAGATATATTTCTAGTGTCATGGCAACTGGACAACCTATTTGCTTAACTTACATATGTATATATGTAAATATATTTGTATTACCTACACAGTATGTACATAATATGCATTTCCATCCCTCCATGTATTACTCTTCTGGTACATTGTCTCTGCATTCTGTTTATCGAATGCAACTAAAATATTCACAGGTTTAGCTTTTATAAAGAATGTGTAGGATTGCGAGTTCAAACAAGCTACATTTTTTAATGCCATGATTCTTCTAAATCACAAACGTGCATGAAATGATCAGTCAGCACAGAAATATTGAAACAGCTTGGAAAAAAATTATTAGCGAATGCACAAGGAATCTAACATTTTTATTTTGCTATTGCTTCCTTAAGCTGCAGCGCCATTTTGAATTTGACTATCAGACCAGAGTGGATGGTGAGATAATTCTTCATCTTTATGGCAAAGGAGGAATTGAGCAAACAGTTCGCATGCTGGATGGGGTATTTGCGTTCATTTTACTGGATACAGCCAATAAGAAAGTGTTCCTGGGCAGAGACACTTATGGAGTCAGACCTTTGTTTAAAGCTATGACAGAAGATGGATTTTTGGCTGTGTGTTCAGAAGCTAAAGGTAATGATAGAATTTTTGTATAGATTTTCATTATTATCCTGGATTTTGTGTGTGTGTGTATGTGTGTGTGTGTGTGTGTGTGTATGTGTGTTTTTCCCTAGGTCATATTTGCAAATCCCATAGGGAGCAATATAAAATTTTACAATCGACTACATAAGTCACAGATCCTCTGAGCTTTGTGTCTTTTAGGCAAGGAGTTGGATTCTCCTTTTTAGTACTTAAATTCTGTGATCCTTGAAGTACAAATCTGTGTAGTAAAATCACTTAATTTTTCTTGTGCAGATAAGCATTGCATCTACTTTGGTCCTGTATGTGCTGGCAAGTTTACCTATATCATATTGTAATGTTAGGGTTGGCACTACAATTACCTCACTGTGTTATCAGGCCACAGATGCAGCAAATATTTATTTAGCATTTTGAAAACAACTTTATTGATGATATTATTCACATACCATACAATTCACTCACTCAAAGTATATAATTCAGTGGTTTTTAGTATATTCACAGATATCTGCAATGAAAATTCCTGTCAATTTTAGAAAATTTTTTATCACCTCAAAAACTTTGATCCTTTTAGCTATTACTCCCTGTCCCTCTATATCCATCAATCACTGAACCTCTCTATGGGTTTTCCTATTCAGGACATTTCATGTAAGTGGGAATGTGTCTGTCATATGTGGGCTTTTGTGACTGGTTTCTTTCACTTGCATAATATTTTCAAAATTTGTGTATCTTGTAGCATGTGTAGATACTTACCTTTTTTTTTTTTTTAACTTTGTGTGGACAAAAGATATTCCATTACATGGATGTACCACATTTTGTTTATCCATTTGTCAGTGGATGGATATCCCTATCCCTATTTGTCAGTGGATTGTTTCTCCCTATTGGCTGTTATGAGTAATACTACTGTAAATATTTATGGACAAGTTTTTGTGTGGACATATGTTTTCATTTCTCATGGGTGTATGCCTAGGGGCGGACTTGCTGGGTCACGTGGTAGCTGTGTGTTTAATTGTTTGAGGAACTGCCACTGTTTTCCAAAGTGGCTGCACCATTTTATATTTCCAGCAGTAGCATGTGAGGGTTTTGGTTTCTCATCCTCACAGACACTTTTTTTCTGACTTTTGATTCTAGCCATTCTAATACATATGAAGTACTAGTTCATTGTAATTTGATTTGCTTTTCCCTGGTGACAATGATGTTAAGCATCTTTTCTTGTTTGCATGCCATTTGTATATCTTCCTTGGAGAAATATCTATTTAGTTCCTTTTTTTCCCCTGTTGAGAATCATTTAATTTATTAATGTTTTTAAAAATTAATAGACTACTTTTTTAGAGTAGTTTTAGGTTTCAGAAAAATTGAACAGAAAGTACAGAATTCCCATACCGGGTGGGACAGAAGTAGGTTTACACTTATGAGTACACAGAACAGTGTATTCTTGTATTATTATTTATTAATTATTGTATTATTTGCCATATGAACAACTGTAAACCAACTTTTGTCCCACCCTGTATATTCCTCCAACTATGTTCAGCGAGGTTGCAGAATACATGATCAATATGCAAAAATCACTTGTATTTGACACATGTGCAGTGAACACTATACACTTGTAATGAATAATCTAAAAATGAAATTAAGGAAACAATTTTATGTATAATAGCATCAAAAGGAATAAGAGACTTAATATTAAGTTTAACAAAAGAAATGTAAAACTTGTACTCTGAAAACTATAAAACATTGTTGAGAGAAATGAACGATTTAAAAAAATGGAAAATCATCCCATGATCATGAATCAAAACCATAACGTTTAGTTAAGATGAAAGTACTCCCCAAAGTGACTGTCACATTGGTGTGACCCCTGTACAAATCCCAAATGACTTCTTTGTAGAGATTGACAAACTGACTCTAAAATCCGTATGGAGGTACAGGGACCCAGGATTGCCAAAAGAATCCTGGGAAAGAACAAAGCAGGAGGACCTACACTTCCTGATTTCAAGACTTAACTATAAAGTAAGAGTAAACAGGACAGGATGGTGCTGGCACAAGGACAGATGTATAGACCAGTAGAACAGAATTGAGAGTCCAGGAAATGAATCCATACATCTGTAGTCAACTGGTTTTCGACAAGGGCACCAAAACCATTCAATGGGGAAAGAATAATCTCTTCTACAACTGGTGCTGGCACAGCTGGATATACACATGCAAATAAGTGAAGTTGGACCTTTACCTCACACCATATACAAAAATTAAAATGGGATCCAAATGTAAGGGCCACAACTAGAAAATTCTTAGAAGAAAACATAGAGGTAAATCTTCGTGACATTGTGTTTTACAGAGATTTCTTAGATATGACACCAAAAACAAGCGACAAAAGAAAAGTAGATAAATTGAACTTCATCACAAAAAACACTTCTGTGCTAAAAAAGAACAACACCGAGAAAATGAAAACAACCCACAGAATGGAAGAAAATACTTGCAAGCCATAGTTAGCATATTTTGACAGTAAACTTGAGGAAGACATTCATCTCTCTTACCTGGACAGCAGTAACATTCTAAAATCCGGTCTGCCTGCCTGCCTCTCTCTGCTTTATTCCTTAAGTCCTTTCTCACTTCATTTCCAAATTTACCATTATTTGAAGCATGGAAAATGAGAGCAATAAGAGGGTCCTTAGGACACCAGTCACGGTGTGGGTCCTAACAGATGTCTAAGTTGGTCTATTTTCAAGCATTTCAAATGGCACAGAACAAGTTTATATGTTAAGTACTATTAGGGGAGCCCAGTAAAAAGAACCAAGAGAAAAGCAGACCTCCTCTGTGTGTCTCCTTTGGGCCTAATTAGCTTGATGTAGAATTACAGTCTTACCTTTGATTTACCTTGGAAATTTCTTGACTTATTTTTTGCCTCCTTCATAGTACTGCCCTTTTCCAGACTGAATGATCTCAGCCAGAGTCGGTGCTAGTTTTCATTTCTCATTGCTTTTAGAATAACTTAGTAAAAACTCATCTGATCATGATGCTGCTCCCTGCTTAAAACCTTTTAACTGCCCTTCAGCCTCTGCTCCGGTTGTGTGGCTCTATTAAGGTGTGCTAGCTAGTGATGGGATCTGAGTATTATCTAGTCTTTGAATTTGGTGCTACACAGTAGATTACTGGGTTAACAAACTCAAATCTGTTCCTGTTTAAAATAAAACATTGATCTTGTATCTCAGATCATGATGATGTCAGGCTGGCTACTCCCTGCGAGAACTTATTGAAGAAATTTATGTTATACTGTATATATAATACCTGTATTTTGCTGTGTGTAATGCACACTATTTTGCCCAAATTGTTGGGGGAAAAATAAGGATGTGCATTATGCATGGGCAGTACTAATTCTGTATCTATGTAAGTGTTTCTCTTATTTATGCTTATGCGTTAAAAATGTAACTCTAGAAAGCAATAACGGTATCCATATTCAAAATAATAGCTTGGAATACAATAATTGGTTTTGTTTCTAAATATAAATGAATAAAAATTAAAATGAAAGATTTTTTTCCTTGAAAGTTCGGGCCAAAAAACGTGGGTGCACATTATACACAGGAGCATGTTATACACAGCAAAATATAGTAACTGGTTAAGGGATAAAGGCCTGGCATTTTAATATCAGACTTTAAAGTACTTAATAGTGGCTCGTTTTGCTCGTTAAAGGACCGGGAACCTTGTCCTGGCCTCTGCTTCCTCTGCTCCGCTGTGCTCAGCTGTAACAGGGGAGTCTGGCAGGACACACAGCAATCCTCTCAGTTTAGGAGGGCTGTCCTGAGTGTGGGGCTGGCTCTTAAAGGCACAAGAGGACAATAAGTGAAAAAAAAAAGAAGACTGGGAATCATGGCTGTTTTCTTAAAATACCTTAGTGATGACAGAGAAATAACTGCCAGGAGGTTATAAAAGTAACATTTCAGGTCTGTCTCTCTGCTTAATAAATGTATCTTATTTTCCTTTTTATATTTGCTTGCTTTATTATAAAAAATAGATTTTCTTGGTCAGAAATTCTAGTTAAGGCAGGAGAAATGGAAGATTGGAGATTTTCCTATTGCTTTGAATTACTACAACTCAGTGTAATTTTGCTGTGCACCCTCTGTTCCCCTATTATCTCTGTAGTAATTAGATGGTAGGATTTAAGTGATTAAATTTATTTTCCTATTTTGCTTCTAGAATGGACATGCATTTGTATTAAAAAGGGGAAATAAATAGGAATTTAAAGAATATTAACTGATTATGAAAGTTCCCGTGAAGCCTCATCCTGACTTGAATAAATGTATCTTTGTGAATGTGCAGGTCTGGTTAACCTGAAGCATTCCTCAGCTTCTTTTTTAAAAGTGGAGCCTTTTCTCCCGGGCCATTATGAAGTATTGGACTTAAAGCCAAATGGCAAAGTTGCATCGGTGGAAATGGTTAAATATCATCACTGCAGAGATGAGCCTCTACACACCCTCTATGACAGTGTGGAGAAACTGTTCCCAGGTAATAAAGCAAATGTCCCCCCACCTATTCCCTACCCGTGTCCCCCAAAGGGAAATTATACTCTCACATCATTGGAATGACTTCAGTTTGAAGATCTTATTTCCTATTTAATTTGGAGGTGGTATATTGCCATCTGGCAAACTCCACTGTTGAACAAATACCAACATGATGGATATCGATGAATGTTATCTTGTTTCAGTAAATAACTGAGCCCAGCCTTTCCAGAGCTGTTTCACTGACTTGATGTGTTTATTAGGTTTTGAGATAGAAACTGTGAAGAACAACCTCCGAATACTTTTTAACAATGCCATTAAGAAACGGTTGATGACAGACAGGAGGATTGGCTGTCTTTTATCAGGTAAGGACTGTTAATATTTAACCTAATAAAATTGACCTAGTGATATTTCATGTGTATTTGTTTAAATTAAATGACTTGTAGCTATCCCTGAGGTTTTGCCTATAAAATATTTACTTTATGACTTAATCTTTTCTTTCTGCATGATAGGATGAAAGTTTTTGGTAAGCTGCATTTAATATTTATGATAATTTAGCAACAAAATTACACTGTATTATTGGTATGAGTGAGTAAACATCCTTTAGAGTTGCAGATAGTGATTTTTAACCAATTCAATACTGTTCCCATTATCACAGGTTATATGTTAGATTTTTCTCTTATTAAAGTTGTTTTTTATTTTATAAAACTTAGGGATTTTAAATGATAAAACTCCAATCTTGGTAAGTCATCTGTCCCATCCTATGCAAGGCACGTAACCAGTACACGTGCTGTCTTGCTCACAGGGGGCTTGGATTCCAGTTTGGTTGCTGCTACTCTGTTGAAGCAGCTAAAAGAGGCCCAAGTCAAGTACCCCTTCCAGACATTTGCGATTGGCATGGAAGACAGTCCCGATTTACTAGCTGCCAGAAAGGTAAGACACTGTCTCTGCCTGTTGTTAGAATGAAGATCAAGTCAATAATTGGTGATTCTCTACTTCCGCTTTTGCATTGACTCCAGTAATTGTTTTAAATTAAGAATATTAAAATGTTATGTAATGAAATGCGTGTTTAATATCAACTACTTTGGATACATTTATCTACCATGGTCAATGTAATTCTCAGAAACACCGTAGGACAGTAATTCTCCTTTAGAAAGTGAGGGCCTGGTGCAGTGGTTAGGACTGCAGGCCTTGGGGCCTGACTGCTGGTTTCAGATCCCAGCTCCCCCGGCAGCTCCTCACTTATGCGATGGGAGTAATAATATCTACTGCAGGCTAGTTTGGGGGTGAAAATTATATAATTCATTTACAGTGCATAGGCCAGGGCCTAGCATGAAGTAAGTACTTGGGGAATGTTAGCTGTTGCTATTATTTAGTTTTTTTTTGTGTTTTTTTTTTTTAAATAAAGTAGTCTGTTAAGAACTATGGGTAAAGGGGAGCTGGTACTCAGTGTGCAGAGGACATCATTCTTGCTCTGGAAAAAACTTACATGGAATGATTGAAAAAGAGCTGGAGAGCAGTCCCAAAGCAAGCTGACGAGTGCTGAAAGAATCCAAAATTGCCAAAGAAAATAGAATAAGGGGAGGGGTCATTTCATTGAGGCATAACATCCTGGGTGTGAAATCAGACATTGCAGGAACAACGCTGAAAGGTGGCCCGCGTTAGAGCAGGGTCATGCTGGGCGGGAGAGAGATGAGGTGGGTTTGGTGAAGTAGCTATGTGTTTGGCGGGTGGGGTGGTGTGCTAATTGGAAGCCTCTTGACCGTTAGGTTAAAGTCTTGGAGTGGCAGAGGCTGATGGGAGATCTACCTCGTGGTGGCTGAGTGGAGGGAAGGGACCAGTTGGGGGTCGGGGAACTTGACTAGGTGCGGCTTCTGTGTGGTGGCCTGGAGAATCATTTCCCGTGTTGTGGTGGCTTACGGAACCACTTCCCCTTATTATGCCTAGTTTCCCACTATTGTTAGCTCATGATGCCTTGTGAACTACCGTCCTGTTTAATTTTCAAGGGCAGTTCTGTTTTTTACATAACAAGTATGTGAGTATTTCTTTATGTAATCAGGTGGCAAATCATATTGGGAGTGAACACCATGAAGTCCTCTTTAACTCTGAGGAAGGTATTCAGGCCCTGGATGAAGTCATATTTTCCTTGGAAACTTATGACATTACAACAGTTCGTGCTTCAGTGGGTGAGATATTTTATGATATCAAAAGACTTTTAATTGTGAAAAAGTATAAAGTTTAAAAAGTACTATTTCAAGCAACAGTTTAAAAATCAGTACTCAAGAATGCATACAAATAAAATTCCTGTGTCATGAGTTGTCTAAGACAAGATCATTGAAGAATTCCTTGAATCTCTTGGGGTGAGAGGGACAGTAAATACATAAACTTCCACATTTATAGTATCACTATTTATATTTCTCCAAAGAGCAGATACATACTTTCTGTGACCTCTTCCCTTAGTTTCTCTGTATAAAGTTTCTTAGGCTGTACAGAGAAATAGGTCTATGTTGTAACTAATCTTCTGTAAGGAATACTCACTTTGGATATGTCTTGCTACATACTTCATCATACAACTTATCAGTCAATAACAATTATTGCCCAGCAAGCAATACTAGTTTTACCCTGTGGATACATACCGAGATCAGATGTGTACTTCCAATCGGACTGATCCAATGTTGGGCCTTTAATATGCTACCAGCTTTGATGTTCTTCTCTTTTAAGAGACTCAGAACCTGATAGGGTGATCTTGCCCACAAGGGAGCAAAAATACATGAACAGATATACAGTATTAGTATTTCATTAGGAGGGAGCAGTTAGGAAAAGCATCTAAAAAGTCTCCCTAGAGAGGCAAGAATGGAAATGGTTGAGAACAAATACTGGGTTATAGGGATGTGGAGCAGGAACCAATGGTTATCTTTTAATAACTTACATAGTATCCTTAACTATATGTTAATTTGGTGGATGGATAGTATTAGGGGGGAAAAAAAAACTACCAAAACCTCAACTCTCACTGTTTTTGTGTGCTTAATTTAAAAGACATACTTTTGCAATGAAGTAGCCCAAAACCATTCCACAGTTTTATATATAGGTTTTAAATTTTAATGCTTTTAGACCAAGAATGCCCACCTTAAATTTTTGTAAACTGAACAAGGATGCACATATCAAAAATTTATACCTTTCATATTAGTATCTCTATACAGAAATAATAAGAGTCTAACCTAAGAGCAGAGCTTGCAGTTGTTTCCAAAAGCCAAATAAATGACATTTTTTTGTGAAGAGTGATGTCGACATTAACAGTCATTTCTCTCTTTTAAGGTATGTACTTAATTTCTAAGTACATTCGGAAGAACACAGATAGTGTGGTGATCTTCTCGGGGGAAGGTTCAGATGAACTTACACAGGGTTACATATATTTTCACAAGGTAAACCTTTGGAAATGGAAGGATACTGATGTTAGATTAAGAAAAGTATGAATCATTTGACTATTTTCTGTCATCTTTTTTTTTTTTCAGTATAGCAGTAACACTTTTGAGTAGCTTGTGAGGTATATGAGGAAATCTAATAGTGTCTGCTTTGTGGTTTTTTTTTTTTTTTTTTGCAAATTTAAAAGATTTTATTTATTTTTAGAGAGGGGAGGAGAGGGAGAGAAACATCAATGCATGGTTGCATTTCATGCGCCCCCTGCTGGGGACCTGGCCTGCAACCCTGGCATATACCCTGCACTGGGGATCGCAGGCTGGCGCTCAAGTCTGCTGAGCCACACCAGCTAGGACAGCTTTGTGTTTTGGGGAGAAAGAAGTCTCAATCATGTCAGAGAGCCTCTATTCTTTATAACTAGTTAAGCACGAGAATCATGTTTCTTATATTTCTTAATCTCCAGTGATATTTTAGTCTTTACACAGTGTGCCCATTTCTTTTATTCTTTGCTGTGAGGGAAGATCTGTTTTATACAGCCTTTCCTCCCTTTTCTAAACTCTGTTTAGCTTTTTGTCTTATCTGCCTTTAGAGTTGGAGTATGTGTAAGAGTAGGAAAAACTGTTTTATTTACCCAAAGCAGATCTGCCTGTGCACTTGTAACTTTCAGCTCTTTGTTTGTGAAATAGGCCCCTTCCCCTGAAGAAGCGGAGGAGGAGAGCGAGAGGCTTCTGAAGGAACTCTATTTGTTTGACGTTCTCCGTGCAGATCGAACTACTGCTGCCCATGGGTAATGCAGGAGAATGAGGCTTGTCTCTTAGCCCCGAAGGAATCAGGCTGATTTCAAAGTGCTGTTGTGGGAATGGTGGGAGGACTTTCACAGGCCGGTCTAGACGGAGCTGCTACCTTCAAAGTATAGCAACGTTCC